AAAATTCTCAACGGAAGTATTTACACTACTCACTGCTCCTCCTCGGCCCAGCCTGGACCCACAACTCCAACAAGTAATCACCTTTACTAGTTTCATGAGTATCCTTCCAGCATTTCTATAATCACCAAAAAAATAAATAAATAACATTACCACATAACACTGTTCCCCACTTGCTTTTCCTGTTTAACACATCCCAGAGATCTTTTCCCATTAGTTCACAGAGAGGTGAACTTCCTCATTTTTTTATACAGCTGCACAGTATGCTATTACTGTGTTTTAACATGCATTTCTCAAACTACTGAGACCGTGCATCTTTATCAAATGTTTGTTGGCCACTATGTTTCCTCTTCAGAAACTGCTTATTCATATTCTTTACCTATTTTATCATTTCATTCTCTTTGTAGGAGTGCAATATGTATATTTCTAGTTTATTACATATGTTGCATACTCCTCTCAGTCTGTTTTAAATTTGTATATTCCTTTTTTCTTTAAAATTTGTATATTCTAAATGTTAATGTTGTCATAAAGTTTTAAATTGTGGTTTGGTCAAATGTATCAAAATACCTTTCCAAAATGAACGTAGATATAATTATGCATCCAATCACCCATAGAATACAGTGGCACTGAACCGTATGTATATTTAACTTGAAAATGATTTAGGCCAGGTGCGGTGGCTCACGTCTGTAATCCCAGCACTTTGGGAGGCCAGGGTGGGCAGATCACCTGAGGTCGGTAGTTCGACACCAGCCTGACCAACATGGAGAAGCTCCGTCTCTACTAAAAGAACAAAATTAGCCGGGCATGGTGGCGCATGCCTGTAATCCCAGCTACCCCGGGAGGCTGAGGCAGAAGAATCACTTGAACCTGGGAGGTGGAGGTTGCAGTGAGCCGAGATCGCGCCACTGCACTCCAGCCTGGGCAACAAGAGCGAAATTCTGTCTCCAAAAAAAAAAAAAAACAAAAAAGAAGATTTAAACATTTGGCTACTCACCATTCTATTTAATAAACATAAGTCCCAGCATGAGCCTGAAATATGAATCTATTTCCTCAGTAGGTCTCAGTTCTTCAAATGCATCTTATGGAATGAACTTCTCATTGCAATAGATAAGTTAATGTTTCATACGATTTTATTTTGTACAACATAGCCCATAAATGTAAGCCACCTTCCTCTAGAGCACAATTGAGGAAACGGTGATATATTTCATCACTAGAGGAAAAACTGGCTGTTTTGGAATTATCGAGAGATGGTATCTTATTTCCCATATGGCAACTTCCTACAAGTTAATTCTGACTATACAGTATTTTCCCCTAATATGCATAATCAGTAAGTGGTAACTCCAAAGCATCCCAGACCTTCAAGGGTATGACCTGTGCCTCACTGCAGCCTCTTCACTCAACATTTCCCCCTTGGATTTATATTTTAATATAGAGTTATCTACAATACCCTCATGTGCTATTCTCTCTCACAATTCTACTCCTTTATATGTTATCCTAAGAAGTCGTTCCCTCCCAAACTTACCTAAGTAGTTCTATTCTCCCTGCAAACCCAGTTCAGACATTACCTCCTCCAAAAAGTTTCCCTTGACCTTCTCAGCAAAATGAATTAATCACTTCTTTATTCTCTCATTGTGGCCTTAACACACTTCCATTATTAGATAGATTCCATCACATTACAAATGATTTATTTACAAGCTTTCCTCTCTCATAAACCTTAGGAATTCAGATAGGGATTTATCTTTTTTTTTTTTTTTTTTTAACCCTTATAGGAGTAAAGGCTAATAGTTTATCTTATTCTTACGTGTATTTTAGTATCTAGCAGCTTCTAATACACCACTCAACAGATGTTTGCCAAATTAAACAAGTCCTTTCTATTCAGCATTATTACAAACACTGTAAGCCTACAAACACAGAAATTGAAGGTAAGATCTTTAACCAAAAATATTTCACAAACTGAAAAAATGTGTGGATTATAACAAAAGTAGTTTGTAGTTCAGTGTTTTGTTTAAGCGGGTATAGATACCATAGATCAGTGCTCTTCAAACTGTTAGTCATGACCTATTAACAGACTGTGAAATCACTTTAGTGGGTTAAAGCCAATGTTTTTGAAAATATCAGCATATATCAAATGTAGTTATCTCACACACACACACATGCACACAGTAACATAAATAAGACAATTACCATATAAGATGTATTTTTTATTGGGAGTCAGAATAAACAATCATCTGAGAGCTACTTCCATAGTTGATAGGTTCCAAGGTTTATATTAACAAATTGTAGCAGTCAAGGAAGGCCTCTTCAATGAAGGACTTAACATCTGAAGCATAACCTGTCTCCCCACCATCTCTTCTCAGCTCCTCTCTCATTCTCACCCTTAGTTACTGTGCTCTAGCCACAAAAGTCTTAGCAATTCTTTGAACAAGGCAAATGTGTTCGCACTTTAGGGTCTAGCACATGTTGGTTCCGTTGCCTAGAAAACTCTTCACTTAGATAACTGCATGGCTTGCTCCTGCACTCCAGGACGCCCAGGGAGTAGCTTTCGCAGACCACCTAAGATAGCTACCACATCTCACCAATCTAACCCCTTACTTCCTTTTTTTTTTTTAAGATGGAGTCTCACTCTGTCGCCAGGCTGGAGATGCAGTGGCGCCATCTCAGTTCACTGCAACCTCCGCCTCCTAGGTTCAAGCAATTCTCCTGCCTCAGCCTCCCGAGCGGCTGGGACTACAGGCACACACCACCACGCCCAGCTAGTTTTTGTATGTTTAGTAGAGATGGGGTTTCACCATGTTGGCCAGGATGGTCTTGATCTCCTGACCTTGTGATCTGTCCGCCTTGACCTCCCAAAATGCTGGGATAACAGGCATGAGCCACCGCACCTGGCCTCCCCTTACCTACTTTTATTCCTTTTCATTTTACTCATTACCACCTAATATCACATATTTATTTACTATGAGTCCCTCCCCACAAACGTCAGCTCCAAGAAAACAGGGACTTTGTCTTCGTTTTGTTCATTACTCTAACACCGAGATTAGAACAGTGTCGGCCGCAGGGCAAACATCCCTGAGTAGGCTCTGACAGGCAAGGAAAAGGAAGAATGCATGGAGTTGTGCTTAAGCAAGGTATATTACAGAGGAAACCCCAGCTTAATAATGTCAAACAGTAAGGAGTAAGGCTGAAAAAGAACATAAAAAGGTTGGAAAGTCAGAAGTAGAATTTGGACTTTATCTTGTAAACAACTGGGAGCCATTCAAATTTTTGAGCAAATGGTGACCCTTTCAAACATTTATTCAGCACAGGTTCAATTCACTTTGTTTGACAGAATAGACAATGCAAAGGTCAACAGCACATGTTCTCCCCTTAGGCTTATATGTTTAGCAATGGGTTCAAAAATTTTTCAGGAAAATCATTCTGGCAGCCATATGCAAAACGGATTCAAGGAAGGAAAATCTAAAGTTTAAAGGAAGTAAACAATAGGCAAAAAAAAAAGAAAGCAAAAGTATGCATCGCAGACTACTTCAAGATTTAAGTATGACAAAATTAAGAGAAATGCTGAAAGCAGGTGGGAGGCTGAATAATAATAAATCTAAAAGTGATGGAAATTCCTTGAGTTTTCCAACAGAAATATCCAGTAAACTATTAGAGCAACAAACACGGATGGGACACACATTTGGGAGCCATCAGCATATAAAACATCTGAGAGGGGAATAGATAATCAAGTACTGATGAGACTAACAGTGCTAAGAGGCTCAAGAAACAACAAAGAAAACAGAAAAGCAGTAGTCAGAAGGGAAAACCAGGATGGCAAATTAACACAAAGGGCAAGGAAAGAACATTAAGAAGCCTCGGTGGAAACAGTAACACATATATACTAGCTGAAGAGAGTCAGGATGAAGCCGTTATTATTGACAAAAAAGATGTCCTCTGAAGCAACAATCTGAATTATGATATTCCAAAACTGCGTAATTTAGGAAAGAAGTAGTAAAAGAACTCAGGAGTTGAATAGCCTGGACAACACAGTGAGACTTTGTCTCTACCAGAAAAATACAAAAATTAGCCAGGCATGGTGGCACATGCCTGCAGTCCCAGCTACTCAGGAAACTGAGGTAGGAGGATCACCTGAGCCCAGGGAGGTCAAGGCTGCAGTGAGCTGCAATTGTACTCCAGCCTGGGCAACACAGTGTGACCTTGTCTCAAAAAAAAAAGTAAGAACTCAGGGCAACAACGGTAAGTCAATTCTTAAAATTTTTGAAAATAAAGAAAGAGAAATGCAGCAGATAGAACAGTAGCAGCAGTTCATCAAAATTTATTCTTTTTCCTCCCAAAGTACAGAAGTCCGTACATATTTTAAGATAGCGAAGAAAAAACATTGCAAATAATGATCAAGGCCAGGAGCAGTGGCTCACGCCTGTAATCCCAGCACTTTGGGAGGCCAAGGCAGGCAGATCACAAGGTCAGGAGATAGAGACCATCTGGCTAACACAGTGAAACCCCGTCTCTACTAAAAATAGAAAAAAACTTAGCCGGGCGTGGTGGCACGCGCCTGTAGTCCCAGCTACTCGGGAGGCTGAGGCAGGAGAATCGCTTGAATCCAGTAGGCAGAGGTTGCAGTGAGCCGAGATCGTGCCACTGCACTCCAGCCTGGGCAACAGAGTAAGACTCCGGCTCAAAAAAACAAACAAAAAAAAAACAATCAAAGTGACCAGAGAGATAGTTAACTGTGGCAGCAGGATTCTTCTTCTATTCAATTTACAAAATAAGATGAAAGAACAGTGATTTGTCATGGTTACAATGAAAAAAAAATGTGCAAGCTTGTATCCTGTTTTCCTTTTTCACTTAAATAGAAGTAAATGGCATCTATTAAGAGTTAAAGAGGAAGAAGGAATATAAGACAACAGAAAAATGCAATTAATAAGATGATTGCCAAGAAGTAGGAAGGGCCTATTTGGAATTGTTCAGCATAAATTTATAGTGGCCAAGAAATCTTCATAATTACTCACCTTCCTCCACAAATATGCTGTGACCTGTGAGGGAAAACAGAAGAAATCGATGGTGGAAAAATCTGACAATATGCGTCCAGTAAAATATAAAATAAGTGACCGATGTCAAAGTGCAGACTGTATCTAGTGCGTACAGGAGTAAGTTAAATGTCTTAGACTGGGTTGCTGTAACAAAATACCATGAACTGGGTAGCTTACTAAACAACAGAAAATGATTTTCTTTTTTTTTTTTTTTTTTTTGTAGAGATGGGATCTATGTTGCCTAGGCTGGTCTCAAGCAATCCTCCCACCTCAGCCTCCTCAAAGTGCCAGGATTACAGGTAGGAACCACCACACCCAGCCCAGAACACCATTTTTAATAGTTCTGGAGGCTGAGAAGTCCAAGATAAGGCACTGGCAGATTCAGTATCTGGTAAGGGCCAGCTTCTAGACAGCAGTCTTTTTGCTGTAACCTCATGTGGAAGAAAGAGCTAACAAGCTGTCTGGAGTCTCCTTTTTTTTTTTTTTTTTTTTTGAGACAGAGTCTCATGCTGTCACCCAGGCTGGAGAGCAGTGGCGTGATCTCTGCTCACTGCAACCTCCACTCCCCAGGTTCAAGCGATTCTCCTGCCTCAGCCTCCCAAGTAGCTGGGATTACAGGCGCCTACAACCGTGCCCAGCTAATTTTTGTATTTTTAGTAGAGATGGGGTTTCACCATCTTGGCCAGACTGGTCTTGTACTCCTGACCTCCTGATCTACCCACCTCAGCCTCCTAAAGTGCTGGGATTATAAGCATGAGCTACTGCATCCAGCATGGAGTCTATTTTTTAAGAGCACTAATCCCACTTGTGAGGGCTCTACCCACCTGAGCTAATCACCTCCCAAAGGCCCCACCTCCTAATGCCATCATCTTGGAGGTTAAGATTTCAACACGAATTATGGGGAGACACAAGCATTTAGACCATAGCACTAAGGGAGAGAAACTGAGGGTCTCTATGAATGGAACAAGTAAAGGAACATAGGAAGAAGAATCACATCGGCAAAGACACAGAGTTCACACAAGCCATTCAGGGCGTAAAGGAAATTTTTAGATCATTCACTTACCACACAAATTTTTTTTATTTTTTATCATTAAAAAGAATAAACATGGAACACATCACAAATTTATGTGTCATCCTTGTGCAGGGACCATGCTAATCTTCTCTGCATCGTTCCAATTTTAGTATATTTGCTGCTGAAACAAGCACTAGACTACTAATTATTTTTTCCTCTGTTTGGATACATGGGAAGTGCTGTGGACATAAAGGATTCCAGGAGTCAGAAGGGGCTATACATCCAAAACCGTTATCATAATGAGAAGAATCGACCTAATTCCAAAGTTCAGTTCTGTCATTTTAAAACCACCTCAGTGTCTACGTGCACAGAATGGGTGTGTTAAAGACAGGTATCATACTGGCATCTACCCACCTCCTTTAAAGAATCATTACTATAGGCTGGGCGCAGTGGCTTATGCCTGTAATCTCAGCACTTTGGGAGGCCAAGGCGGGCAGATCACTTGAGGTCAGAAGTTCGAGACCAGCCTAGCCAACATGGCTAAACCCCGTTTCTACTAAATATAAAAACGTTAGCTGAGTGTGGTGGTGGGCACCTGTAACTGCACCTATGTGGGAGAATCACTTGAACTCAGGAGGCAGAGGTTACAGTGAACCAAGATCACGCCACTGCACTCCAGCCTGGGTGACAAGAGTGAAACTCCACCTCACAAAAAAAAAAAAGAATCACTACTATAGTAAACCACCATAGTAAAAGTATCTTATCCCTCAAGTGTAATGAGACATAAACAAGCTAATTGGGTTATAGGAATGCTCAAGCCTCATTCAGAAAAAAAAAGATTCTATATTATATAATATAATCACAGCATTAGTGGGTTTAAAATATTCTTAAAAATAGAATCACAGTCAGGACCAACAAGAGTAGTTTTTTAAAGTTTCAGTTTTTTTGTTTTTTTTTTTTCTCTTGAGACAGAATCTCTGTCACCCAGGCTGCAGTACAGTGGCGCAACCTCGGCTCACTACAACCTCCACCTCCCAGGCTAAAGGGTTGCTCCCGCCTCGGCCTCCCGAGTAGCTGTGACACAAGCGCACGCCACCATGTCTGGCTAATTTTTGTATTTTTAGTAGAGACGGCGTTTCACCATATTGGCCAGGCTGGTCTCGAACTCCTGACCTCAACTGATCCACCCGCCTCAGCCTCCCAAGGTGCGGGAATTACAGACATGAGACACTGCGCCCAGCCATTTTTTTTTTATTTTAAACTGTGAAACTTTTAGGCTGGGCACAGTGGCTCACACCTGCAATCACTGCACTTTGGGAGGCCAAGGCAGGCAGATCACAAGGTCAAGAGATCGAGACCATCCTGGCCAACATGGTGAAACCACGTTTCTACTAAAAATGCAAAAATTCGCTGGGCGTGGTGGCGCACACCTGTAGTCCCAGCTACTCGGGAGGCTGAGGCAGGAGAATCACTTGAACTCAGGAGGTGGAGACTGCAGTGAGCTAAGATCGTGCCACTGCACTCCTGCCTGGTGACAGAGACTCCATCTCAAAAAAAAAAAAAATTAAAAAAAAAAATCATAGTATCAGTGTGCTCCGTACTTTTTTAATCAAAGGAGATGGAGGTGGACATTTTCCATTATTTCATTTTAATTGACTTTAATTTACCATGCACTATAAAACTATATAATGCCATGAAAAGATGTTTTAATATTATAAAATAGGACTCAAAATTAGTATTTTGTAGGTTCTTTATCTGCAATTCCAAAAATCCAAAAAACTTCTGAAACCCAAAATAACTCATCTTGTGGTAAACCTTACCCAAACCGATATGAAGCTATTTACAGTCTTTATCCTATTTAGTGCAAACATTGATACATTTTGCTGCAGAAACAGTAACATTTTTGAAGGGGGATACTGCACTGGACTCTATTGGAAGGCTATACATTACTACCTTGCCCTTATCAAAAAAAATTCCTAATTCCATAACCTATTAGACTCTAAGAGTTTGAATGGTGGACTGTGATCCTATAATTGCTAACATTTATTGAGCTATTAACTATGTGTCAGATACTGTTCACTTTATATGAAATAACTCATTTAATCTTTCCAATCATCATGAGCTAAGTATTATAATAATCCCCATTTTACAAAGAAGGAAACTGAGACATGGAGAGATTAAGTAAACTGCCTAAAATCACACAGCTAGAGTGTGACTAACTGGGATGACACTGGGATGAATACTTAAAACATTACACATAAGAGTAACAAAACACAAGAAAATGGGATAATTGATTATGCTAGGTGATAGGAGTCAGTGATATGTTTCTCTACTCAATTGATATTACTTCCAGAATAAGGAATCAAACAAAAAATTACAAAACACTACGTGCATTTACAAATTCTCATTTATGTACAATTTCTACAAACTTGCTTAAAATGCAGAGTATAAAACCCAAATTTCTCAGCTTATGTAACATATTTATTTATTTTTTATTGAAAAATAACATCTTAGTATCTTAATTATAACACATGATAATTTATAGTCATTGTAGAAGTTAGAAAATTTGGATAAGCAAAAAAAAAAATAATCACCTATAAAACTACACTCAGAAATAACCATTTAACAATTTGGCACATATCCTCCCAAACATCAATATATTTTGGGTTTTTTTACCAAATGGAATCATGTTTTTAAATCTTACTTTTTCTCACTTACATATACCAAGACATCCTTTCATGTATTTATATTATTCTATCATTATTTTCACGGCTGAGAAGGCAGTACCCCACTGTATGGATGGACCCTAACAATCACTGTGAAACATTTAGGTTTACAGTTTTACCATATAATGATCAATAGTACTGGCTCTAGAGTCACAGTGGTTGGATTCAAGTCCTGGCCCTAAAACTTAAGTAACTCAGGTATCTTGAGCAAGCAACCTCATTTCTCTATGCCTGTTTTCTCTTCTGAAAAACAGAAATAGTACTACCCACTCCATATGATTACCGTGGGGGTCAAAGGCATTAACACACAGCTTGTATAACCAACAACACTGCAATTGGTATGCTCACAGCTAAATATTCACACACACCTTTACTACACCAAAAAAAAATTCTTTAAAGGGAATTTCCATGTCAGAAAGTATGCCCATTTTTAAGGCTTCTGAATCTGCCAAATTACAGTGTGGTTTACAGTCCTTCATTAAATAGCCTTCTCACTTAATACTCAATTCTCTTTATCAAAAAAGGCAAAAACTATTATCCAGTTAAGTTAACCAGCTTGTTTCACTCAATTAGTTTTTTGTTCTTCCACCTATAAACCTCGGCATATTTAATAAAACCTCAAAGTTTATAGGTAACTTGAAGACACCTAGCCCTAATTCTCCTTCAGCACGATTCCTCTACTCTAGAATCCTCAATCTGTCAGTGAAAAGGAACAGCCTACCACCCAAAACAACTCATTCTATTTTCACAGTTTTGAGGAAATTTCTCTTGAAATAGAGCGGAAATCTGTTTCTTTTAAACTTCTACCCACTGACCCTAGTTCCTTCTGGTCAAATCTGATCCTTCTGTGTGACAGAACACCAAATCCTTAAAGGTGGCTGTTACTTCTTAAAAGAAGCTCCTCTTCTTTAGGTCAAATATCCCATTTTTTCAACTTTTTCTCATTTCCATTTCTCTCATGATCAAAGTCCTCGTTTATGCTCTACAGATAAGTGATTTTGACACTTTGATGTCTACCACCTTGGAAATGAGAAAAATAAAGGTCCGTTCCTACCCTACGTTAAGTTTGGGCCTCTGTGTGGTTTCTTATTAGCTCTCCAGATTATTCTGATAAAGTCTGAGAATGAATACAAGGTCTCACTTATGATAGTATGCTACCCAAAAAGCCAACTCAATACCCCACGTATAATATAACTAGTACAAAGTAAAGTGGGGCTAACACCTTGCTCTTTCAATAAGCTGTTCTATCATCTTCAGAATTACTCTCTGACAGGTTTGGTGGCTGACGCCTGTAATCCCAACACGTGGGAGGCCAAGGTGGGAGGATCACTTGAGTCCAGAAGTTTGAGACCAGCTTGGGCAACATAGTGAGACCTCGTCTCTACAAAAAAATTTAAAAATTAACCGGACACGTTGGCAGGTACCTGTAGTCCCAGCTACTCAGGAGGCTGAGGCAGAGGCAGCATCGCTTGAGCCTGAAAGGTGGAGCTTGCAGTGAAGTATAACTGCACCACTGCACTAAGCCTGGGTAACAGAGAAAGCAAGACCCTGTCAAAGAAAGAAAAGGTGCAGAGGGGAACACAGGGAGGAAAGAAGGGAGAGAGGGAGGGAAGGGAGGGAGGGAGGGAAGGGGAAAGGGAGGGAGGGAGGGAGGGAGGGAGACAGAGGAAGGTGCACTAGCCCACCAACAACCGAACTGACAGCTGATTGCACCAAAGCATCTTCTCTGTATAGAGCACTGTGATGTCAACACTGAGAAAAAACAGAGGCCCTAATACTGATCTCATCTAGTGCTAGATTTACCTTCTAGAAAGCATGATGGAACAAACATCTTCAGAAAACTATAATACTAATTATAGCTATACCAAAGTAGGCACATCAGGCTATAGAAACATTGTGATTACTAGCTGGAAATCCTACTAGTTGTGGGGGAGGAGAGGGGAGGGGAAGGATGACACTAAGGAAACTAAGTTGCTCTGAACTTCGAGATTTTGTGTGGGTTTGTTTTTTAACGTTTGCAAAGTCAGAAGAGATGAAGGCCATCAGAGAGTTCATCTGAACTCAGGCTACCTGCAAACAGAGACTGGGTAACCGCCTCAACCACCCTCAAAAATAAATTCATGATGCAAAACTTCATGTAATTTCTGAATTTCTGAATTCCTCATGACATGTGAACTTTACCTGTTACTATTTCTAACAAGGTAATGAAGGGCAAAGGAAAAACAAAACAAAACAAAACATCCATGGTACAGGAGATATGGTCCATTATAATGACACAATGTTAGAGGAAAAAACAAACTAAAACCAAGCATACTTTTTTTTTTTTTTTTTGAGACGGAGCAGAGTTTCGCTCTTGTTGCCCAAGCTGGAATGCAATGGCGCTATCTCGGCTCATTGCAACCTCCATCTCTCTGGCTCAAGCGATTCTCCTGCCTCAGCCTCCCAAGTAGCTAGGATTACAGACGCGCGCCACCGCACCCGGCTAATTTTTTGTACTTTTAGTAGAAATGGGGCTTCACCGTGTTAGCCAGGCTGGTCTCAAACTCTTGACCTCAGGTGATCGGCCCGCCTCCGCCTCCCCAAGTGCTGGGATTGCAGGCGTGAGCCACTGTGCCTGGCCAAACCAAGTAAACTTAACCAAGATCCAATCTATTTTCATTTAAGCAGCAAACATTAAAAATACACCTGGTATTTTCTAACAATTACACGAAGAATGACCAGATGCTTCCTGTTGATGGAACAGTAGAGAACTACAGACTGACAGATTCAGACTAGAGTTCACAGAAACAACTGGAAACAAACTTAGCTTCCTTTCAAAACCATTAAAGTATGGCCTTAAATTTTTACGCATTAATCAATTAGGTATAATTGTCTCCCAACCTAGAAAACCCAGAATGATTCAGAGACAAAGAACTCTAAGGATACGTATCTGCCTACTATTCGTTTCACCAAAGGATTCACTGCAGAACTAGTTTTCCGTAGAATCTGCACCTCCTATAGTTTTCAGCATGTTTCATCTTTAAAAATAACATTTACACACAAGTGTTAATAGCATATGTAATGTGGAATTCACGTGTTACTTGTGTAAATCATTGTACGTACTAGAATTAAATTTTTTAATCACTTAAGAATATTTTCAAATGTTCCTGAGTCTCCAAGATCATAGGCAGATTATGCAGTAATTATCTATGATTTTGTTTAGGTACCTAAATTCCAACTTTTAAAAAAGCTGGAGCCCAGTAAAAAAAAGTATGGGAATCAATCTTATTCGTCTTGTTAAAATGTGTCTTGCATAACATCCTGATTTGACTTGTGTGGTGAAAGCACGGTAAGAATGACACATTTCTGTTTTTTGGTATTAAAAAAAAAAGTATGAGTGTACAGTGGAGTGTTCCAGAGGTTACATGGTGTGCTAACCACAATAGTGACGTAGTTTTGAGAATCTTCTATTAAACCAGGCATTAAAAAGATTTGCAAAAATGCAAGATGTTACTCTTAACAAATCATCTATGTTAACATGTAATGGATGTATTTTTTGTTTTTGGGGAAAAAAACCCGGGAGAAAAAAAAACAAAGCCATCTTTAGTTTCCTCAAAGTCTGACCCTGAAAATGGAAGTATCAAAGCTGATGGTTTATACGTCAGTGAGAAAAAAATTTAAACCAAGCTGGGTGGGTCTTTACATGAGATAATCTATCTACAAGAATGTCTGACCACTAACTTCTGCATAATAAATGAGAGTGGATCTTTTCATTCTGGGATGGCAATGTACTTTACAAGGACCATTTACAGCCTACATCAAACCTTTTTCTAGATAAAAAACGTACTTCAGTAACTTGCCTGAATTGAAAGAGCAAAACAGTCCGGAGAGAAAACTTAAAATGTTTCCACATTATCAAGCCCCCTTCAGAAGTACTGTGGTCTCGGCCCCTCCTTTGAACAGATGTCCGCTCGCCACAGTCCAATCAGGTTTAAAGCAAGAGTATTTGTACTGAAAACAAGCTTCAAGTGGGAAGACACACACAAAGCAGGCCTGTATCATTCCTTTGGTTTCAGTTTTCACGATGCACCCTTGAGGCTAGGCACGCTGATTCAACACACTTGGAGAGCTTCACCGAAACACACTAAATACACACTGATGAACTGTGCCCTGGCAGAGATGACCTGGCAAAATTCTCAACTTTTTCCCTGAGGCCGTGCACCCGCGGGTCTCGGCGGCGAAGTCTTTCAAAACGGCAGGCTTCTCCCCCTCAGGACTCCAGTCCTCGCGGCCAAGGCTGTCGCTGCGGGGGCCCCGCGCGGGACTGGCCAGGCTCTCCCGTTAACCCTGTCTGGGCCGGCCGATCTCGCCGCGGCCCGAGCGCCTCTCGGCCCCGCAGCACAGGGCGCCCAGGACCCGCCGCCCCCGCCGCCCGTTCCCCTCTCCGGAGAGCCCAGCGGGGCCGTCAAGCTGCCCAGACAAAGGGTACCGCGGCGCCAGAGGCCGGGCCCGGCCGCGCCTGCCTTCCTCCTTCTCCCGCCCACTGCCAACCTCCAGTCGCCCGCAGAACCTCCGCTGCCTCGGCGCGACCCCATCGCCACCCCGGGGCTGCCGCTCGGGACCGGCCCGCCGGGCAGCCGCGAGGAGGCCGCCGCACGCCAGGGCCGAGGAGGGGGCGGCGGCCGCCACCATGTCTGCCCGCCCCTCCCAGAAGCGGGGTGCCCAGCGGACAAAGCGCAGCGGCGGCGCAGGCGGAGCGGGCGCCCAGGCCGACCCCGCCGACCCCCGCGGAATAAGCGGGGCCAGGAGCCCCGGAAACCCGGCGCCTTAATGCAATAAACAGGAAATCGCGGGGATGATCTGGGTTCCGGGGGAAGTGGAATTATTTTTTACCAGCGAAGAGATCAACTTCCACATCCGGTGGTAACAGGGCCCTACACAGACCCGCACTGACCTGGAAAAGCTTCGGGAGCGGCGACGGGAAGGCAGCAGGAGGTGGTGCGGGGACCCGAGGCGCCTCGTACCCGGCCGGGCTGACGCGGCCCCGCTACACACAAAGCGCTTCAGCAGCACAGGGCGCTATTTTCCGAAAATGCCGCGTCTGGTCGGCGCCCAAAATCCCCACCGAAAAGTCCCCCGTGCTGCGCGCGGAGGGACACATGGTGTGCGAGTGAGTCAAGCTCCCAGCATCCCTCCCGGACCCGGCCCTCGTCAGCTGCTCGCCCGAGGATTTTCCGCCTCTGCACTCATCGGCAGATCCCGCTCCTACCCACTCCCTGACTCTGTTCCCACCGGGAGAGAGGGGAAAGAGAGTCTGATTTCTTAACGAAAGGGATGAAAATATGCCATTTCTAGCGCTTCAGCCACACAAAGAAAGCGGCGGAATGATCCGCTCTCGGCGACCGCAAGTCCCGGCCCACCCGGCGCCTGCGCGGCAGCGGGGGTGGGAGCTGCGGCCGGCCATGTGCGCGGCGGAGAGGCTAGGTGGCCGCGGAGCCTTCCCGCCTGTTTCTGCGGTGGGTAGTAGTTTGGAAACTAATGTTCTGTGCTAACCTTCGTGTCTCTGTGACATGACCGTTTAAAGACGGAGAGTGCGGAATCTTTGGACTTTAAGCTTGCCAACTGAGCGGCCTAGCAGAATCCTGGGAGACGGAAGGACAGCCAGGAGGCTAGGATTTACCTTTTAAGTGTCCCTAGATTCAACTAGTCAAACTGGGACGGGAGACGCTGTGAAGGTACCAGGGAAGGAACGAGTGAGGTTCCTTTTCCACTTTTGCATAAACTCAACGGTCAGATTCATGACGAGGATGTACATATTTCTGTAGATTTTTTTCCCGAGCATTCTAATGATGCCTCATATTTCGTAGATCCTAGTAACTGCTTGGATTACTGCCACCTCAGAGGTAGAGATCTGTTTTTCCGTGGCTGGAATGTCAAAACTTTTGTTGTATTTTATTAAGTAGCAAAAGTTTGGAGATTTGCAAGGTTAAAAAAAAAAAAAAGCTTTATGAACTTAATCTAGATGTGATTTGCTAAGGAACTTAACATATTGATATATTTTTCGCAGGGGAGTCAGGGCATGGCTTTCCCAACCTAGTAACTGCAACTTATAGCATCCTACATCTAGGACTTGGGAGTATGTGAGACAGCGCCAAGAATTTAATCCAGGAGAACTGACAAGCTTAAATGAAATCCATATTGCCCACTGATTTTGTGCAGCCTCAGATAAGTAATCTTTCTCCACTTAGCCTTTTGTAACAATTGATGTAATAAAGGTTTGTAGTCTTTGCGTAATTTATTAAAGCATTGTGGCTAAAACAGAAAAAAAGCATAGGAACCATAGTCTATGTTTTCTTTTGATTTAATATTTTCATTGCTTCGGTTAATAGAAATTTGTCAAAATGCTGATGTTTTTCTGTAGCATTATTTGAATGAGCATTGTTTGAGTGAACATTCAGCTAATTATTGTTAGAAAATCGTTGCCCCCAGAATGAGCATTGTTTGAGTGAACATTCAGCTAATTATTGTTAGAAAATCGTTTCCCCCATTAATCTTACACTGTAGAATGTAGACAAGTGAGGAGGCATCATCAGTATGATGAGAGTGAAGCTACTTAATACTGTGGAATCAAATAAAGGAGGAACCCCTTACTAAACCAAGAGGGAGGAATAAAATGGAATGGGACTAGAGAAGCAATTGGCTTTAATAAGGGTATTGTGGAAGACCTAGATAAGAAGCAGTAAGTACCGATGTTTGGAGGCAAACACTGGAGAGATTTTTGGGTAAAGAAGACAGTGCTGGAGGTCTGCTTGTGAAGGCCTTGAATGCTGTGTGCAGAAGTCAGCTTCTGAGAGCCAGGAGGAAGATATTGAAAGATTTTAAGTAGAAGAATCAGGATTGAATTCATTTTAGACAGATCACTGTTACACAAAAATTTGAGGCAAGGAAAAGAGTTTGGAGTAAACAGTAGACTGTGAGCCAACAATGACTTGGACTGAGTTGGTGGCAAGTAGTTGTGAAGAAGATGAAGTGGTTATTGGGAGATTTTGTTAACTGAAAATGACTGAGGAAAATAGATGTCAGAGGTGACTGCCAAATGAGTTGGAGCAGCTACGAGGATAGTAATATCTTCACTGAGATTAGAAACAAAATAAGAGAATATATGTTAGGGAAGAAAGAAGTCTCTGTTTTGACCATGTAAAATTCGAAGTGCCTGTGAGCCAACCAGACAGATACGTGTAGTCAGCAATTAGATATTCATTCAACACTGTTGGAAGAACACCTACTCTGTGCCAGGTACAGAGTAGGTGTTCACCTACACTGAAATAAAGCAGCAGCAAAACAAACGGTTCCTACTCCTGTTTTTAGAGGGAAACAGCGTATAAACAAGTTTTTAAAATGAGAAAATATCCCGTAAGTTTGTGAAGAAGGCCGGGTGCAGTGGCTCACGCCGGTAATCCCAGCACTTTGGGAGGCTGAGGTGGGTGGATCTCCTGAGCTCAGGAGTTAGAGAGCAGCCTGGCCGACCTGGCGAAACCCCATCACTACTAGAAATACAAAAATTAGCTGGGCACAATGGCAAGCTTGTGTAATCCCAGGTACTCCGGAGGCTGAGGCAGGAGAATAGCTTGAACCCAGGACATGGAGGCTGCAGTGAGCCGCGATCTCGCCACTGCATTCCAGCCTGGGCGATGGAATGAGACTCCGTCTCAAAAAGAAAAAAAAAAAAGTTTGTGAAGAGAATTAAAGGCTGATTGGATGAAGTGTTAGTCTGGGGAAAAGAGCAGACTTTTGGTGGTTGGTTGATCAGAGATGGCCTCACTGAGAAGGTATTAGAAAGGACTTAAGAACAGAGTGTGAGACCAAAATAGCGGGGCAAAGGCCCTAAGGTGAGAAGTTTGTTGTGTTTAGGGAACAGCAAGGTCAGTGTAGCTGAAGTCTACTGACCAAAAGAAGGAATGATAGGAGGTGAAGTCTTCAGCCTCGATAAGAAGGTGACGTGCACTGGAAGCCATTGAAGGATTTAAGAAACGGAGTATCATGGACTAGGATAGTAGCAGTAGAGGTGAGGAAAGTGGATGGATCCAAAAAGCTGACCTATCTTGCTCACCAATTAAATGAGGAAAAGGAGGAATCAATAGTGATGCCTAGGTTTGGGGCATGTTGTCTAGGTGGAATTAATTTTAATTACACCTTTTATTTAACCCAGTATATCCAAATATTATTTCACATGTGATCAATATAAAAAATCACTAAACATTAAAAATGTTTTACATTTTTCTCATAACTAAGCATTTGAAATCTGGTGTGTATTTTATACTTATAGCATATCTCAGTACTTGATTTCGTAAAATTTCCAGCTAAAAAAATAGATTCACATATCCAAGTCGTTCCAAGCATACTTAAAAGTTGTACGGTAATCGAATCGTGTATATTTTTAAATTTTATTTTAAATTAAAGTTAGGATTAGGAATTCGGTTCCTAAATTAGCCTCATTTCACTTCCTGCATTTCAAGGGGGACAAGTTGTTACCATATTGGACAGTGCAGTCTAGTGAAATAGAGAATAGTGGAAAGTCAGACTTAAAAAGTTTAGAACCAGCTCTGGAAGGCCTTGGATGTCAGATTAAAGGACTAAGATTTTACCCTTGAGTCAGGCAGAACAATGGATGGTTTTTGAACTAAGGAGTGACACAACATTGTGCTTATGACTAGAAAGAGGCCACTAGGTGGCCAGCCATGAGTCAGGACACCCTTCAGTTGCTTTGACTTCAGCCCTGTGGATTCAAAGTCTGATTTTTGTCAGCACGCTAGAGCAGTTCCACCAAGAGTGTGGTCCACAGGGCAGTGCCAGTCTGTAAGCCCTTTGTTACACATCCATGACAAGTCATTTACAGAAAGTAAATGTAGAAACTTATAGCAATTTAACAGACTAATTTTATTTCTGTGGATCTAATAAAAATTTGAGGGACTGTACTTTGCATATATCTTTATTCCCTTTTTTTTGTTTGTTTGTTTTTTGTGTTTGAGATGAAGTCTTGCTCTGTCGCCAGTCTGGAGTGCAGTGGTGCAATTTCGGCTCACTGCAACCTCCGCCTCCCAGGTTCAAGCAATTCTTCTGCCTCAGCCTCCTAAATAGCTGAGATTACAAGTATGCACCACCACACCCAGCTAATCTTTGTATTTTCAGTAGAGACGGGGTTTCACCATGTTGGCCAGGATGGTCTTGATCTCCTGACCTTGTGATCCGCCCGCCTCGGCCTCCCAAAGTGCTGGGATTACAGGCATAATCCCAGGCCTTTTTTTCCCTTTTTCTTTTCCTTTTTTTTTTTTTTTTTGTTGAGACAGAGTTTCGCTCTTACTGCCCAGGCTGGAGTGCGATGGTGCGATCCTGGCTCACAGCAACCTCCGCCTACCCCCCACCCCACCCCCCCTTAGTTGAATTGGTACTCCTACCTCACTCTCCCAAGTAGCTGGGATTACAAGCATGCGCCACCACACCCTGCTAATTTTGTATTTTTAGCAGAGACGGGGGTTTCTCCGTGTTGGTCAGGCTGGTCTCCAACTCCCGACCTCAGGTGATCCACTCGCCTTGGCCTCCCAAAGTACTGGGATTACAGGCGTGAGCCACCGCACCTGGCCGTTTTTTTCCTTTTTCTAATAATTTTTATCATATTACATAAAAGTACCTGTGGTCTCACA